AAGCAGGTAAAACATCCTGAAGCAGTTGAAACATCATGAAGCAGATGAAACATCATGAAGCAGATGAAAAAACCTGAAGCAGGTGAAACATCATGAAGTAGGTGGAATAACCTGAAGCAGGTGAAACATCCTGAGGCAGGTGAAACAACCTGAAATAGGTGAAACATCAAGAAGCCGGTGAAACAACCTGAAGCAGGTCAAACATCACAAAGAAGATGAAACAAGAAGCAGTTGAAACATCCTGAGGCAGGTGAAACATCCTGAAGAAGGTGAAACATCCTGANGTAAAAAATCCTTAAGCAGGTGAAATAATCTGACTCAGGTGAAATGACATGAAGCATGTGAAAACACCTGAAGCAGGTGAAACATCAAGAAGCAGGTGAAACAACCTGAAGCAGGTGAAACAACCTGAAGCAGGTTAAACATCAAGAAGCAGGTGAAAAGCCTGAAGCAGGTGAAACATCGTTAAGCAGGTGAAACAACCTGAAGCAGGTGAAACAACCTGAAGCAGGTGAAACATCATGAAGCCGGTGAAACTTCATGAAGCAGGTGAAACACCATGAAGCCGGTGAAACTTCATGAAGCAGGTGAAACAGGCTGAAGCAGGTGAAACAACCCGAAGCATGTGAAACATCCTGAAGCAGGTGAAACATCATGAAGCATGTGAAACAACCTGACACAGGTGAAACATCCTGTAGCAGGTGAAACATCCTCAAGCATGTAAAACATCCTGAAGCAGGTGAAACAATCTGAAGCAGGTGAAACATCACAACGCATGTGAAACAACCTGAAGAAGGTGAAACATCATGAAGTAGGTAAAACAATCTGAAGCAGGTGAAATAACCTGAAGCAGGTGAAAAATCCTGAAGCAGGTGGAACAACCTGAAATAGGTGAAACAACCTGAAGCAGGTGAAACATCGTGAAGCAGGTGAAACATCATGACGCAGGTGAAACAACCTGAAGCAGGTGAAACAACCTGAAGCAGGTGAAACAACCTGAAGCAGGTGAAACAACCCGAAGCTGGTGAAACATCAAAAAGCTGGTGAAACAACCTGAAGCAGGTGAAAAATCCTGAAGAAGGTGAAATACCCTGAAGCAGGTGAAATATCATGAAGCAGGTGAAACAAACTGAAGCAGGTGAAACAACCTGAAGCAGGTGAAACATCACAAAGAAGGTGAAACAACCTGAAGCAGGTGAAACATCCTGAAACAGGTGAAACAATCTGCGGCATGTGAGATATTCTGAAGCAGGTGAAAAATACTTAAGCAGGTTAAACAACCTGACTCAGGTGAAACAACCTGATGCAGGTGAAACATCACAAAGAAGGTGAAACAACCTGAAGCAGGTGAAACATCCTGAAACATGTGAAATATCCTGAAGCAGGTGAAAAATCCTTAAGCAGGTTAAACAACCTGACTCAGGTGAAACATGAAGCAGGTGAAACAAACTGAAGCAGGTGAAACAACCTGAAGCAGGTGAAACAACCTGAAGCAGGTGAAACAACCTGAAGCAGGTGAAACAACCTGAAGCAGGTGAAACACAACGAAGCAGGTGACACATCCTGACGCAGGTGAAAAAATCCTGAAGCAGGAGAAACATCATGAAGCAGTTTAAACATCAAGAAGGAGGTGAAACAACCTGAAGCAGGTGGAACAACCTGAAGCAGGTGAAACATCATGAAGCAGGTGAAATATCCTTAAGCATGTGAAACATCCTGAAGCAGGTGAAACATCCTGAAGCAGGTGAAACATCCTGAAGCAGGTGAAAATATCCTGAAGCAGGTGAAACAATCCTGAAGCAGGTGAAACATCCTGAGGCAGGTGAAACATCGTGAAGCAGGTGAAACATCCTGAGGCAGGTGAAACATCCTGAAGCAGGTGAAAATATCCTGAAGCAGGTGAAACATTGTGAAGCAGGTGAAACAGCATGAAGCAGGTGAAACATCCTGAGGCAGGTGAAACAGCATGAAGCAGGTGAAACATCCTGATGCAGGTGAGACATCCTGAAGCAGGTGAAAATATCCTGAAGCAGGTGAAACAATCCTGAAGCAGGTGAAACATCCTGAAGCAGGTGAAACATCCTGAGGCAGGTGAAACATCATGAGGCAGGTGAAACATCGTGAAGCAGGTGAAACAGCATGAAGCAGGTGAAACATCCTGAAGCAGTTGAAATATCATGAAGCAGGTGCAACATCGTGAAGCAGGTGAAACAGCATGAAGCAGGTGAAACTTCCTGAAGCAGGTGAAATATCGTGAAGCAGGTGAAACATCCTGAAGCAGGTGAAACATCAAGAAGCAGTTGAAATATCATGAAGCAGGTGAAACATATACATATATATACACACACACACACACACACACACACACACACAC